CTATATATTTAACATTTTGAGTCTTCACCCTGTAGGTACCTAAGTATATTTACTTAACATGTGGTAAGTTATATTAGAGAGAGATTCGTGCCCTTTGCGAAATGCATAATTACCCCTTGGGTATTTATAATAGCTAGGTAAAACAAAACTATGTTGAAACGTATAAACTTTGAAGTTTACATCTAAAACAACAAACAACAAATGTAACCACTTTGTTTTATCGGCCATTTTGAGTAGGAATAGGAGTTTTTTTATATAAAAAACCTTTTTTTTCAAGCGTATAATAATTTTCATGTTATACCAGTCTAACTCCAATCAGGTAGTCTGGTAAAAAAACCGTCTGGACCAATCAAAAAATTCGACTACTGTCAGATCTACCCACCTAACCTCAGTTCTACTTTTAATAATTATTAATTTCGCTTAATTAGCACAAAAAGACCCACTTCTCAGCCTAATGACATAAATAACTAATATTCCAAAAATGCCCAAAATGTAAAACCTTAATAAAATAATGTAGCCAATTTCTGGTAGGTATATTTATTTAATAATAAATGAGGCGTTTAGTACAGGAAAGGCAATAATATCGTGTCTGAATTTTTGGCAAAAAGTTTCTAGCAACAATGCATACACAAAGGACCTGAATATTTGATGAAGTTTAATATTTAATAAGTACTTTCAATAAAGCTAAGGGTATTTGCCCACTTTATTATGTCCATGTTTTTGTAAATAAACAAAGCTTTTTATTTAGTATTAAGGTAAACGTCCCAATTATCGACACTGTCCCAATCATCGACATTTGTGCACTAAACATTCAAAAATAAGAATTTGATGCTTTGGACATCTATTGTCATATTAAAATAAGAAACAAGTAGGTTTTCCCTACCTTTCCTAAAAAGTTTCGGTCGGTTATGCAGAAAATATTAATTGAAAAAATATTTTAATCCCGCCATTCCGCAGTCATCTGTGAACTTGTGCAAATCCTTAAGAAAAGTGTTAAGAAACAGGTAAGTTAATTATGGCAATTTTAGTTTAAAATATTTAAGTTTCTTTATGTAGATAGTTGTATATTTATATACAGAATCTATAATTTATGGTTTTTGCCAATAATTTGGCATAGAATCAGTATAAACGTAAAATTATGTGGTGTCGATAAAAGGTACATCCATTTTTAGGCTTTGTACGATTTATCGACATAGGTGTCGATAAATGGTACTATGTAGCTTTCTCTTTTCTTATGAATATTTAAATGTCTATAAATCTTACTCTTACTCTGTCTGAAGAGTTTAAAGGAAATTATATTAAACTACCGCTGTACCAATTATCGACACCCATTTTTTCCATTGGTAACATCGTTAGAGTGGATCAAAGTCTGTGGAGTGGATGTAATTTATATGTCGATATTTGGTACCAAAAATGTCGATAACTGGTTCAAAATATTTTTTTTCAGAAAGAATGTTTTAAAATGAACATTATTGAAAATAGTGAAAAATGGGAAAAAACATTTACAAACATGACTTAAGAAAAGTTATTTGTAAACGATTATGTTATAGTGAATTATAACGATCAATCACTACCAGGTAAAATTATTGACATATCATTGTAAAGAAAATTATGAGTTTAATTACCAAGTCTTACATATGGAGAAAAATGGGCTCAATTGGATATGGGATATGGGACAAAGGGATAATATTCTTTGGTATGATAGAGAAGAGGTCCTTAAAAAATTAAGGAACAAAAAAAAACGCGGACTTTACTGCGTACTAGAGATTTGTGATTCAGTGTTTAAAATACCTTTATCATCAAACATTTTTGTTTGCAATAAATACTGCTTATATTTTATAATAAATAAACTTTTATGATAAACTCTTTGTTACTTATTATAACCATTTATATCGATTGCAAGTTACTTTTCCGAGTGTCGATATTACGTACGCAAGGGTGTCGATATTTGGTTCAAGACAAATTTTCCCATGTCGATAACTGGGTCAAATGGTACTTTTCAACAAATTTATTTTTTGCATATAAATTACGCATTGCTATTTAAAAAATAAACATTGCAAAGCAATAATCAATATTATAACAATCCACAGTAAAATTGTTAAAAGTGTAACTTTAATATGCAAATTTTTATAACCATATGATTTAGAAAAATCTCTTAAGGTGTCGATAATTGGGACGTTTACCTTAAAACGTTTATATTAAAGTAGGTATGTGACAGGTAAACAAAGAAATATTTAACGTGGTACCTATATAAATAATTTATGTAATAATTATTGCAAAATATTAGGTACCTACCTAAAATATTACCACAAAAATAAATGTTTTGTATTATAGCAATTTATTAGGTTCTAAGCTTAAAGGTTTGAATTTTTGTATAAAGGTAAAATATTTGGGGTTAAATTTTCTAAAATTTTACAAACTTACCTTATAATAGCGTAGTTTTGGTTTAAATGCAATCCTCAGTCATACATAAATACCGAATAAGTTAACAAAACAATAACAATTAATTTTTCCATAAATTATTCGAACAAACCATTCAATAAATACTGGTTGTGATATGCATTGATAAAATATAGTTTTATATCTCACGAAATCGGCACTATAAACTTTTTACTTCTGCTGAAGAACAACAATAAATGACCATACTCCATTTTGTGATCCTCTGCTATATAAGAATTTCATTTGTATTTTTCGTATTAATTCCGCATCTTTTCCACGCACTTATGTATAAACTTCACGTTAATTTTTCTTCAACTTTCATCTTGTACACAATAAAATTTGGGAGTGCCTAAATTATTCGTTAAAATAGAGTTTTGTTTTAATGCTTTTACACTTTCAATGTGCCGTCATTCTCCTATACAAACTAAACTAGTCTCACTGTTTGTCGCCAGATGGCGCTAATACGACTCAAGCACAGTGGTCCACGTTCCGAATCGAAATTTTTGAAAAAAATTTACTTTTATAATAAAAAAAACACAAATTTAAAGACGTATTGACAAATATTGTTTTTAAAAAATATCTTAAAACTAGTTTATGCTTTTGTGGAATTGTATATTTATTAAGGCTCTTGTAAGGCTCTTACTTAAAGAAACATTATTATTATTATTATTAATATTATTATTATTATTATTTAAGCTAAACGATTGTTATAACTTGTAAAAATTTTAGTTAATTCACAAATTTAAAAATATAATAGATACTTTTAAGTTAACCGAAACTATTTAAAAGAATGATGGTCCACTGTGCGTCCTCTTAGACCCTCCCAGAGCCTAGTCTATGGACCCTCCCATAAGGTCATACACCGGACAAAAAAAATTCACTCTCGACCATTCCATGCTTCTTTATAAGTCAAACTATGTATGAACAATCGTGAACTAACGCTTAAAAACAATTATCCATTTTTAAAGGCAAATCTTTTAAATAGTTACCTAAGCTGTAGGTACCTATAACAAAATTTATTCCTCAAGTGTACATGGTCTACAAAAAAAAAGAACGTAAAAGACAAAACAAAACCACGATTGTAGGTATACAATTTATAAATTTAAAATTACAACAGTTACTTATAAGTGTCAAAATCTTAAAAAACAACATTTCATGTGTGTCTTCTGGTTATCTTTGGTTTTATGTAGGTACTATAAGCCCGGTCACAGAATGTATCTTTAACGGTTTACGTCTTAAGTCAACCAATGTCTATTTTAAGCACTTTATTGGTTGGCGTAAGACGTAAGCCGTAAAAGGCTTCAAACAAAAATAACATATACAAAAATTATCTATGCACCTTTGATTAGAGAAAAACCTTAGACCATAGATGGAATATTTGGAAGTTGTTTATGGTCTAGGAGAAAAGCAGATTTTTTGATTATAGGCAACCCAGAATACCGGTATGAAATATGCCAGTACAGACGTCTGTTTTTAAATTTACTTTGCCATTTGAAATATAGATGGCGTTGAAAAAGCGACATCTGTGTTGCCGAATAAAAGCTTTCGAAAATCGATAGGTTTATTGGCAAAATATTTAAATTAAAATAAATTTACATGTTACTTTAGAGTGGAAATATTTACTTTGAGAGACTATTTATTTATGTTTAGATTAGTTTAATATTATCTATATTAAAATACTATTTATTTTGCTTATCTTTATTTATTATTCACTTAAGAATATCGCGTTAAATGAAGTAGGTATCTACCTTATTTTAAAAACAGGCAAACTTGAAATCAAATAAGTATTAGATAATAATATAATAAAGGTTTTAGCATTTTTTAGGAAATATTATCATTAGAGGGTCTAATTTTTCATAAGTAATATCGGGGAATGATAAATGAATTTTTATAAATTAATATTATATATAATTATAATTATAAATATACTGGGTCGTTTATATCTACATACATGTATACAAGTATACTTTACTTCTAATTTGTTTTTTGTTCAAAATTGATATACAAAACATATAATAAAAAAGGTGACGTTATTATTTAAATTTTGATATTTGTAAACCGACAAGCAAAAATTATTCAGCCACTAATCTTATTTTTTCACACAAGAACCTTAAGGTTATCAGTGTTTTAATATTTTTAATGCTAAGAAAAAATAATAAAACCACGATAATTCGATCGAAATTTAGCTGAATCCATTTTGCATAAAGATATTAAATTAAAATTAAAATATAAAAATAAAAATGTTGCAAATATTACATATATTACCTCATCATGGGAGTTTTGAAAAAAAAATTGTCTTTTTTGTTTTTATCTCCGTTATATTTGGTCGTATTTAAAAAAAAGTTTTTTGGAATTGTCAGTTTAATATCATCAGTAGAAACCCCTTATTAAGTTGTGGTCCAAAATTTTTATTTTAGCTTATTATTTGCCCCCTTAAAAAGTTTTGCATGGGCGCTCGTGATTAGGCATCGCTTACAGCGTCAAATATTTTCGGCGCTCAAAATCTATTTTAACGTTATTACCGCGTTATGAAGTGTCAATATATTTTACAACCTAGCGCAGAGCAATTCTAGTAGTGCGAGTTATAATTTGCCAGGCTGGACTTGAAATTAACAAAACAATACAATGAAAAAAAAACAAGCATTAATAATAGATAAGATACATTAAAGAGTATAGTTGCATGTGTTTTGTATTATAAGACTCATTTGAAATTAAACCAATCAACTGAACACATCACAACACTATTTATTAGTGGTTGATGAAAATTGACAAAATGAGTGAAACAGTGAAAAAACCTCAAATTAACGTCGCTTCAATTGAAACGTAAGTGTTTTTATTTTTTGATTTTTTGTTAGAAAAAAAACTTAACGCAAAATAAATATTATAATATGTTATATATAACCAAGAAATTTTATTTTAAAATTAATTTTGTATCTTTTATCATTTTAACTAAAGATAAACCCTATTTTAAACCAGAGGTCATTGTATTAGTGTAATAATATTATTTTTATTAAATAACGCACAAAATTATTCACAATATTTACTCAAAATAATATTAGTCAATAAAATTGTAGTCGTCTTAAATTATTTAGGTAAATATCGGTATCAATACTTATTGATCCTGAAACATAATCCGTTTATTATGAAATATTGATAAAATACATAATGGTCAAAAAAGTCATATAAAAATTTCATTTTAAATATTATTTAGAAAAGAACTACTAAAACTTTTAATACGTGCAATGAAAAGTTGTGACAATAAAAACATAATTTTATTATTGTAAAACTAGACCAATTAAAAGTATTGTGTTTGTACAATGTAATTTAAAAAAATGCACTTTAACACTGACTTCAAGATCAAAGTATATAGGTATATATATATTTTTTTATATATTAACCAAGTATAACATTTTGCAATGTAAATATTATATTTTACTAGTTTAACACAAACTACAATAAATTTAATGTAACTTTTTTTCTTAGTTACCTACCAAAGCTTAGTAGGTGGCATTCTGTGATTGTTATATATTGTTATATATATTCATATGTATGTATTTTGGAATAAAATTTATTTTATACTTTTTATATTTATATCTTTATATACAGGGTGTCCCAAAAGTCAACGATATCCTTTGAAGGACTGCCCTGATAGCACACTAAGAATGTTTTTTAAACCTTCCAGTGAGAATATTCTTAACTATCTTCAACTTCAACTTAATCTGACTTATCCCACAAAATTTTCCAATTTTACTTTTTATGAAATAATTTCATTCAACTTATGGTTTAGAGGTCAAATTGTTTATTTAATATTTTTAAATAAATATATATTAATATGTCGACAAATACATTTCACTGTCATATTATGACAGTGAGGCGTATTTGTCGTCTCCTGAAGAATTTTACGAATATAGAATACAACATATTAGAACGTGGGTATCTGACATATTTGGAAATATTCTCAAAAGCTTCCTAGAAGCTCCATAAGAAACCTTCTAAGAACATTCCAAAAACGTATTCTTAAAATGTTCTTATGATGCTTTTTAGGAAGGTTTTAAGAAGCTTTTAAGAATCTAATTGCATTATTAAAAGGGTATCTATTGAATGTTTTAAAAGTCCCTAAGAACAGTCTTAGCAATAAGGGAAGGTTCTAAAAATATTCCATTATTCCGGGTCATATCTTCTTAGAAGATTCTTAAAATCAAATTTTGCTATCAGGGTGATAGGCCAGTTTTTAATTGAAAGTCCTGTATACTCTTATTATAAAAAATAAAAAATCAAAAGCTCGCCTGATCTAAATTCAAAAATGGTGGATGTACATAACGTTTGTATTTCTAGTAAACAAATTTTTACTAATATTATTTTGTCCTCGAGTAAAACAATAAACAATCTAAAATAAATTGTGAGAATGTAACTAAAAAATTATATTTTTTCAATTGGTACATGCAATTTATAAAATATGGTTAAATACAAGTCAATTTATTAGTAATTTGTGTAATTTGTACATTTCAAGTATTGATTAAAAATAAATTATCTAGAAATATCCATTACACTATTTAATATTGTTTACATATTACAACTGATATTTAAAATACGTTCAATCTGTACTTTGGATCTAATTAATAATTTAACTAATTATAAATTTTTTTCTATTCATTTAATTGAAGGTAATCTATCTATTTAAATTATAAAATACGGAGGTGACTTATTTATATTTGTATCAATTACACGACCTTACATTTTTTAACCCTATAATGAATGTATTGACAATAACAAAGTAAAAACATTTTATTTACATAAAAATATACTTAAATTGAAATGTTTCTATTGTAAGACCAATTTAATAATAATATTAATTAAATAAATGAAATATATATAAATATATATGGCAAATAATAATTAGGTATCTATGTAAATACAACTCAACTCAATTTTTTTTCCATTCAGAGAACCAAATCCTTCAGCAATATGGTACGAACTTATGTTGGCCATTGTAATACTTCTAGGATTTTTGGTTAGGGTTATTTATTACGTAGGAGAATCCATTTATACCCTTATCAACCCCCCACCCCCTAAATCTGTAAAGGGCGAAATAGTGTTGGTAAGATACCGATTTAAGCATTTTTTTCAATCAAATTTTTTCCCTGTATTGTATGATCTAAGATTCTTTGCCTTAGATCACAGGCACTGGTCATGGCATTGGTAAACAATTAGCGTTGCTATATGCATCAGAGGGATCCACTGTGATTGGTTGGGATATCAACGAAGCCAATAACCAAAAAACTATCAAAGAAATTGCTGAGAAAGGGTATCCTAAAGCTTATTCCTACGTGTATGTAGCTATATCTGAATTTTTGAAGACAAATTTATAACAATTTAATTTTAGCTGTGATATTTCCAACAGAGACAATGTCCTTCAAGTTGCCAAGAGGGTACAGCAAGAGGTTGGTGATGTTACCATTTTGATCAACAATGCGGGTATTATGCCTACTAGACCACTTTTGGAGCATTCACATGTTGAAATTGAAAAGATTTTTGGTATAAACGTAATGGCCCAGTTCTGGGTAAGATAGGTAGATAATGACAAATTAAAATTTTGACATCATATCTTTCAGACTTTGGAAGCTTTTCTGCCTTCAATGAAAAAGAACAACTACGGCCATATAGTATGTCTTTCATCAATGGCAGGTCAGGTAGGTTTGGTCAATTTGGTGCCCTACTGTGCCTCAAAATTTGCAGTTAGAGGTTTAATGGAAGCCTTGCATGAGGAACTTAGGGGACACCCAAAAAATAACATCCATTTGTCAAGCATTTACCCTTTCATGGTTGATACTGGCTTGTGCAAAAATCCAGTTATTCAGTTTCCAAATTTGATGCCAATGGAGAAACCTTCAGAAGTGGCTAAAACTATTATGCACTGCCAGAGAAATAATATCCTGGAAAAATCCATTCCTGGATATATGGCAGGATTTGTCAATGTACCTAGATTTTTACTACCACTGAAAGCTGGCTTGGACTTAAAAGATACATTTGGAGCTTTCGTTGATAGCGATAAAAAATAAAAAAATTTACGTTAATGTACAAATTACAATTAAAAACCAAAGCAATATATTAACTTAGTATTAACCACATTTTTATCTATTGTTAATTTTGTAAGCACAAAATCTTGCCTAAATAAATGTTTTTTATTTACACTGTACACTACACACTCATGTAAACCCCTTCAAACCAAATAGGCCCATAGGCAACACAAATATCATTCTTATATACTGTGTTGCATATATACTATATATAGTCAGTAAAATAAAAAGTTTCTATAATACATATTATACCCATGGTACAAGATTGTACCATTGAGTAAGATGTTCCTTACTTCCTTATTCAATGATTGTACCATGATTATACCTATATTATGAAATATTATATTATGAAAAGATTGGAAAAGAAAAAATAACTAAAGATATTTGAAAAATATCTTCTGGGTTTACATTTCGAAAAAAAAAATATTTGGTGGAATTATTTATGTCTGTAAAACAAATAAAATACATTTTATGCTCTACTAAAAATAATTAATTAATAAAACATTTAATGTTTAATAAAATTAATTATATTTCGAAAGAAATAGGAAACTCGTGTGACATGTGACCTTAAGGACATTGTAACAACATGTGACAGGGGGAGAGGGCTCTAAAAAATCCCCAAAAACGACCCCCAACTAAAATTTTGTAAAACTTTATTAATAAACCAATAATTTTTTAATTACCTAATTAAAAAAATTCAAAATTTTCGAATTAAATTAATTTCAACTTGCTTTGCCTCATATTTATTTATGTAAATCAATAAAAATTCAAAATGTATTGATAATTACATATTTTTAACTACGGTAATGACCTTGTACTAGTATTCTTTGATCTCAAACTAATTAATTAAATAAAATGTCAGTAAAATAAAAATTATAAAACAAGTAATTCCAATCATTGTATTATGTTTCAAATACATGTTAGTTAACAGCAATAAATTAAATAAATATTTGTTTTTGACAAACATACCTACAACATTTAATTTTATATCCAAATATTTAATTCAACCTTTTTTTAAATTAAATTCGTTTCATTTCCGTATTAGTATTAGTTTATTTGAAGTTGAAATTAATATTTAAATTTGCTGCCTGGTTTTATTTTTGTTTTGTTTATGATGTTATAAATTTTATTCCTGGGATAAACCTAGACGTTAAAAAAAAGTAAAAAGCATAATATATTTCTTGATGACATTGGATTCATCATTAGAATTTTATCAAATAAATGTTAACAAGGAACATTTAAACAAATGGATAACGTTAAAATTAATTAGTTATTTAATAGTATATTTTGTATCAAGTTTGATAAACGCCATTTTAGTCACAAATTTTAATTAGTCACAAGTTTATAAACAGGTTGCATAGGTACTATACTTTTTCTACGACAAATATCATATTATATATATTATCTAAAAATGGTTTAAATTAAATATTTCTATAGAGCGATCTATAAACAACCCACAATTCTTGGGAATCTGTATTAAAAATAATTTCACAACTAATATTAAGTAAAAAAAAAACGGCGCATCCGCCATTCATATTAATTGCAATAAATATATTATGATTATAGTTATAATAAACACCTATTTTTTAACTTTAAACGTAAAAAATGCCACGGTCATGATTCAAGGCCTTAAATTTGTATCATATTTCATAATATCAAAGACAAAGGTGTTTGCTTTAAATTTTAATTGAGACCAATATATACCATAACCAGTAAATAGTTTTATGTTTTAAAACTATTTATTTATACAGGGTGTCCCAAAAACATTTTATTTATAAAAAAAACAAAATTTTTAATAATAATGGTGTGGATTAAAAGTTTTAATTTTTTGACAAAAAATCATAAAACAAATCTGTCAACCATGTAAAGCTTTAAATTTTTAAATACTGACCTTTTAATTTCGCCGACACCAAACTATGATCTGCCGATAAAGCCTTAATAATTTCGGGTGAAAAAAACTGCTTCTATATCGCATTAAAACGCCTGTTAGTCCATTTTCAAGGGGGAAATCCATTCTTACAGGAACTGACATTGACATTTTGAAAACCAGTATGTAGAGATAATTAAATTAATAAGTAATGAATTATTTATTATAATAATACTCATATGTTGTAGAAAAAGTAATAATACAATTTTCGCAGGTGTCTACTTAAAACTCGTGACTAAAATGCCGTTTATCAATCTTAATACATAATATAGTAATTGATGTCCAAAGACTAAAATATTCCTTAACCCGAAATACCTAACGGAAAACTTAAATATTATACAAAATTAATTACAAATAAATTAATCGATTATGTTGCAACATTTAAAGGCCTGATAGTAATATTTTATAAAATAGTGGCATATTAATAATATTTTGTCTATTAACCTTGGTCATGAACACGGTTAAATCCTTGAAATGGTTCTACGAAAACGTAGCATTATTTATTTGATGGTAGTCGGTAAAAAGTTTAGCAGTCTTAGCTTTATGTTCATACAACTATCTACAATGACAATTTACGGAAAGTTAGTACAAATTATTTTGATAAACACCAAAAAGCTTCGATAATTGGGAAATATGGAAAATTATCATTCCAATTACATGTGGGTATCAAGAATAAAAATAAAGACCACATAAGTTAAATATGGATTTTCAAATAGTGTAACATAGTGAAGATACTAACAGTGACTATATCCTTTTTCTATGGTGACTATAACTGTGTTGTTTTTTGTAAAAACGTGTAAACTGTTTAAATACACAAAGCTTTTATAAATGGGTAAATGTTTTATTTTTAAAACCTAGTTGGAAGATGCCTCTCAATTGACGTTACAAAAATTATAAAACCAAAAGCTTTTTTATCTTTGATTTTAATAATTGTTTAAAAAAACCTTAAGCCTAATATTTAAATTTCTTAATGTAGGTACTAAAATAAAACAATAAATTGGGCAGCTACGAATCGACTTTTTTATCTCATATTTTTATCCTTCAAGGTGTTTCAGTTTCCTCATTAACAAACAAATTTTAACGTAAACAATAACATTACCTATTTGTTTCCTTAACGGACTGGTAGGTTTAACCCAAATTTAAACAGGTAGGTATATAATACCTAATTTAATTTAATTTGAATTAACTTAAACCTAACGAACCACAATAAAACTTAATACATTGTTTCAAGTAATGTCAAAGTATTTGTATTTCCGTTTATTTATTTTTTTTATCTAATTTACAATAAGTTAAGAAATAAAAACAAGTTTCAAACTAATGTGCAAACAAATCTAATAATTCTGCAACCCCGTGTAAAGTAAGTTTACTGGGTTGCATACTATTTTTAATATCACAACTAAAGTTGAAGTATTTATTTTAAATTTAGTTTGAGAATGTTCAAATGTAATAATAGTAATAAAATTGGTTAATATGTAATTAATACATTGACGTCTTACTTTACTCGCGCTATCTATCCAAATATAATTTTACTAAACTCTGTGTTGCCACATTCACTTGTACTTTTTAAGACTTTAAATTACTATAAATATAAAAAAGTATTAAAATATAAAGCATGTTTTACTGTAATTTAAATATGTTTTACAATAAAATAAAAATGTTAGGTTTATTTGTTTTGTTGTTATAACAATAAATTACTACGGAATATAGATATTTGGCAACGGTGTTGGTGTTTATAATAACTAATTTGACAGTCCGAAAAATAATAAAATAAATGTAAATTCGCTGTACTATTATGTCCTATAATAACAGTTACTGTGATAATTATTTGTTTTGTATGTTATTAGTGAATCAAGTGTAAAAATCGAATCAGTTAAGCGTTATGTGTATATATTTGTTATATTTTATTGTTTATTGAGAAATTATTATTATCATTATGACTGAGAAATACCTAAAAACCATCATAGACGGCGTATGCAAGGCCGCCCAGGATCACAATATCGGTTTCTGCGGAGATCTTGAAGATACAACAACAATTTGTAATGTTCATCGAACACAGAATGGAAGCATTTTAAATGGGCATCGGACACAAACCTTCAACTTATTGGTATGTATTTTTAAGGGATATAACATTGTTTAACAGTATTATACAGAGTGCTTTTTAGACTAATAATTGTGTCGCTTGCAATGGTTATTACGGACCTTGTTTTGAGGACCCACTATGTTCAACATGTCATGCCTTTTTGTATCCCAGTGCTCTGACAACCGAAGTTTCGTCTACTGTATATGGGGTAAGAAATATTTTTTACTAGCTTTGCTTCTAATGTAGGCAACCCAGATTACACGGTTGCGTATTTTGCAATTATCTCACAATTTTTTTGGCATAAAAAGTAGCCTATTTTTTGGTCCATAATTTCTCTATGCAAAAAATTTCGTCGATCCGCTAATCCGTTTCTGGACTCAAGGATATTAGTAGGGTTATAAATTAGTTTCTAAAAAATTATACTAAACATACCTAAATGTGTATGGGTATCTTTTTTATTTGAAGGTCGGTTAAATTAGACAAAAGTTGCGTTAAAATATATAATAATAATATACGCTAAAAAAGTATCGCCACCACTCGGCTGTTATCATCAAAAAGTACCACTTTTAATAATCAGCTGTCAAATGCTTGTTACAAACGAGTTTTTTTGAGAATAAAGCCGGAAAATGTTAAAAAATATCGGAAAAAACCGTGGCTCGATTTGTTGTGTTGTTTGGTGTATTTCGAGAGAAAATCCTGGGTTGAGTTTTTACCGCTTTTTCAATAAACAGTGTTAATCTGAATGAAGAAATAAATTGCATTCAGTCTCTGTAAATATAATTTGTACCTATTAGATACAATAAATACAGATTTTAGTAGTGATTAACGTGAAAATTGTAAACATTTCAATTCAGTAAAAATCGTCAAACAAATAAGTCGTCTAAATTTAAACAGCATTTAGCATTATCAAAAGCGTTGATTAAGGAAGTCTCCACTACCATTATATTATGTATTATATGCAATATTATGTTGCCATGAATTCGTGGTATATTTTGTTGTTTAAAATGCAGTTGTCGGCGTTTTTTAGAGAACTCAAATATAAAAATGGTTGATTTTAAGGTTATGTTTGTTCAAAAATTATTTTTTACTAATTTCTTAAAAATGTCCAAACTTAAATATAAATTATGTTAGGTAAAGTTATCATTAGTTAATTCTGCACCAACAAATGTACTTACCGAATTGGCAAAACATGAAAATGCAACGATTTAGTTCTTGAATTTTATTTACAATTAAAAACACAATAATTCACCATGATAAAATTCACACACTAACGTAACTATATAAGCATTTAAGCGTTTAGTTTCTTAATCAATGATATAAGGAATAAGCAATCGAAATCGAGTACTAAAAAAGTAATTTTTTCCTTGCAACGTAAAACACAAATAACGTTCGCGATTTAGATGTGCAATTGAATGAAATTTGTCGAGTAAGACTTCTGGCTTCCTTTCTTTTGTGATAAAACTACCTATTTATTTAAAAATGATGTATAATCTGTGCTTTAAATGTATTGTTGGCATGACATTTTAGGAGAGTGACAGCGATTCAGGCAATGAAGAGCCTGATGATGGACAAGAAGGAATACGTTTGGCTTCAGGGTCCTACCACCCAACAAGAACAGTTTTTGTCCAAGTGGAAACTCTCACAAGAGAACTTCACAGACTCTCTGAATTCACGCCTCAACTGGAGCAACTCAACATTGAACTGCTTCCTCCAGAAGGTGCGAAATTTTGTCTAAACGTGCAGTATTTTGACCTTATCGCGTTTTAGTTCTTATAATAATGTTCAGATATTTGGACGAGATTTCCTTGTGGAGTATAGGGCAAGTTTGCACTAGGTGGAGGGAAATATTGTTTATGTGCGTCAAGCCCGAAAGATGGCGGGATTATACAAGGAAGAGATGGCCTTTACTTCCCATATCCAATCCTGATCAAGACTGGTATGAAGTAAGTACAAAACCAAATGCGTATATGGAAGCTCAGAACAGTTTATTAAATTAATTTTGCACAAACTTTTAAAGGAGCTTCTATATGTGTACCTATGTATTTTTTGCATTTGTTCTGTGTTAAATTTTTTATATATCTGGTGAATTGGAATAACCGCCAATAAAGTTATTACTATTATTATTGATGATTTATTTTGTGTAATAAAAAACTCACATCAAGTCAAAATTTTTATAAGGAAAAATATGTAGTATTAGTAATAAGAAATATTACCACCTTTATTACATGTTTAGATAATTTACATAAATAAACATTTTTAAGAACTGCGCTCTGCAAGTGTACACATGGCTGACCGGCACTGATGAGATCCAAAAGTAGTAAAATCCATTTAACAAACTCGTTTGTTTTTTGTTAAAACCGTTTATTGAAGACGGTAAAACTATGTAAATTAAATTTTTTGTAAAATAGTCGATATTTTAAGAATTCTTACAAAAGGCATTTTCAAACTATAAAACTGTTTTTTTTTTCGAATAGAATCGCGTTAAAAACGCATTTTACGGTGCAATTAAAAAAGTGGTATATTTTTCATAAAAACGACTTTTTGGTCTTTGGTACAACATGTTTAGATAAATTATAATGAAAAATCATTATATTTTGTGAAATAGTCATTTTCGCTACTCCTACATTGACAAGCTGTAACTTTATGGCATTTTAGTCACGGGCTGAAGTTTTATTATAAATTGCGAAAAAGTGAGGTTAAATTCGTGAAATGTCAAATAATTATGAAATAAAATTGGCTTTAAATTCTTATTTCTGTTCGTCGTAGATAAATTAAACTCGTTTTATAAACTTCTGTAGACACTCGTTTTAAACACTCGCTCGCAAGCTTCGCTCGTGCCTAATAAAACTCGAAAATAAAATGGCGTTTATGAAACTTGATACATAATTTACTATTTTCTACACCCACCTTTAAAACGCCCTTTATCGTACATGTTTTCATGACACTAAGTGACCTTTTAAATACACATTGACAAGTTGTGGCTTTATAGAGCTTTAATCACGGGCTGAAGTTAGTTTTAAGTTAGTTGACAGTTGTCAAATGTCATACAATCGTTTAAATTAAGTGCCTTTCTCGTAAAATAATACTAAATGTGAAAATTATTTTATTATCTCAATACAAAAATACAAAAGTATTACCTAAATAGTTTCTCAACGGCAATATTTGAAAAGTTTATATGAACATTGTACTGACCTTTTAATTTCGCCGGCACTTAAATTCGGGCACGGACTCCACTGTAAAGTGCTCATAAAACATTTTCTTTACTTTCACTGTGAAAAACTGTCAATTTTTAAGAAATACATTTCGATTTATAACCTTTATAATCTGTGTTTATGTCTATAAAAATGTGGCATTTGACGGTGACACACAGATTTCCCTATTGTTTCATAGATGGCGCTCTATACAAATTTTTGATTTAAATCATTTTAAGATAATAATAAGTATTTGTCGTAGAAAAAGTATGCACTTCGTTTATAAACTTTTCTATACACTGATTAATTTAAGCACTCGCTCGCTTGATACATAATATACTAAAATATACAAAAACAACATTAAATAATGTACAATAGTGGTGTAAATATAAATAAATAAATGATACATAAACGCTATACGTTACATTTTTATAAAAAGCAGTAGGTGTTTAATTAATTTTTTTATGAGATATTTTACTGCATTTTTGTGTTGAATTCGGATATAAAATGTCCATAGCTTTACCAAAGCACAAGAAAACGTATTTTGCATTTTTTTGTAGTTACTGCCTTTCTCCATAGTAGGGCAGTATACTTATTAGTAGGTACTCTTGGACATTGAAGCAACAACAAAATGGCGTTTATCAAACTTGATACATAATATGTATACTATTATAAGTAACGAAAAAAGTGATGGTAAAAATGTTCCCAAAATTGTGTTATAAAATTAATACTTTTAACAAAAAAAAAACTCACTTTTTTAGTTATATTCTGCAATGATGTTGAGCTCTTGCTGTATAAAATGCATAAAGGAAATGTCATGTATCAAAGTGAATACAAAATGGGATGCAAATTCCTGGAGAAATAACCGTTTGATGACTGAAATTAGATCGATGAGGAATGACCCTTTAGATGGGATAGATGCACAAAATTTGGATATTGCTTGTGGACATTGGCAGGTAACAAATGATTCCACATTAAAAACCCTTTTAACATTTTAAAAACCAATGTTGTATTTCAGGCAACAATAGAAGGCCCAGTAGGCAGCCCCTACGAAGGAGGTCTATTTTTTCTGTATATAGAAGTACCGCATTCCTACCCCCTTAACCCTCCCATAGTGAGATTTATAACGAAAATATTCCATCCGAATATTTCTCGACACGGTGATATCGGAATCGATTCAATTTTGCACAACTGGTCTTTAGCATTGACAATTAACAAACTTTTAATATCTATACAGTCCCTATTGACTGATCCTTCTTGTGATGTAAGTATCAAAAACAACTCTCAATTGAAGGGTAAGTTATTGGCACCTTACAGAGTTTCAAATTTTTAGGTGTGCATGGAACCTTTAATAGGCCAATTGTACATGAGAAATAGAAGACTTTATGAAGGTTATGCTCGATTATGGACCACAAAATTTGCCATGCATGACATGTTTCCTCATTAAAATTGAACACTTATTATTTGCAAACGTACTACTTTTAACTGGTTTTATATGGATTCTTTTTTACAATGTGATATTTTCATGAGATTTTTTCACTAAGGTACATACATACGTTATTAAGTTTATTGCTAATTTAGGTTTTATATAAATCATTATTATCAAGTCTAATAAATTGTATATATTTACTACCAGTGTTTTATTTAATAAGATATATTCTCTTATTAAAGTTTTATGAGCTATAAAAGCAAATTATTTCCATTAAATTATACATTTTAAAGTTAAATAATATTAATTTCCACATTTTAGTTTTATTTATAGTATACCAAGGATTTTAAAATAAAATAGTTATTATTACAAAAGGTTCTTGCGAATTATAAAAATGCGAATAAAATAAAATACTTAAATGTAAACGGTTAAATATTGAACACCCCAAATCCCAAGAAGGTAAAGTAGAAATCTATTAAACAGGCTGACAATGTAACCTTAGTTGCCTATATTTGTCAACACAAAATTAGGGTCAGGGGTGTAAACAATGACACTAAGCGGCAATACACATTGACAAGTTGTGGCTTTACGGCGTTTTAGGCACGGGCTGAAGCTAGCAACAGGTTTTTAGCTACGGGCTGAAATTAGCTTTAAGTTAGTTGACAGTTGTCAAATGTCATATAATCGTTAAAATAAAGTGCCTTTCTTGTAAAATAATACTAAATGTGAAAATTATTTTATTATCTCAATACAAAAATACAATAGTATTAAATAGTTTCTCAACGCCAATATTTGAAAAGTTTATATGAACATTGTACTGACCTTTTAATTTCGCCGGCAGTAAACTATAACTTAAATTCGGGCACGGACTCCACTGTAAAGTGTTCATAAAACATTTTCTTTACTTTCACTGTGAAAAACTATCAATTTTCAAAAAATACATTTCGATTTATAACCTTTATCTACTCCTACATTGACGAGCTGTAACTTTATGGCGTTTTATTGACGGGCTGAAGTTAACAACAGTGGCTTTTCGACATTTTACGTCACGGGCTGAAGTTAGCTTTATTATAAATTGGGAAAAAGTGAGGTTAAATTCGGGTGACAGTTGACAGATGTCAAAATTTTAACAAATACAATTGGCTTTAAATTCTGTTTTGTGTTCGTTGTAGATAAAGTATAGTATGCAACTCGTTTATAAACTTCTCTAGACACTCGTTTTTATTAAACACTCGCTCGCAAGCTTCGCTTGTGCTTAATTAAACTCGTAACTAAAATGGCGTTTATAAAACTTGATACATAATATACTATAATAATCTGTGTTTATAAAATAACAAAATTTGACATTTGACGGTGACACACAGATTTCCCTATTGTTTCATAGATGGCGCTCTATACAAATTTTTAAATTAAATCATTTTAAGATAATAATAAGTATTTATCGTAGAAAAAGTATAGTATGCAACTCGTTTATAAACTTTTCTAGACACTCATTAATTTAAGCACTCGCTGGCAAGCTCGCTCGTGCCTAAATTAAACTCGTGACTAAAAAGACGTTTATACAACTTTTTTTGGTATTTTGATATTTTAAATTTAAATAACACTGTGTAAAATTTAGATGAACTGGGACAACAACAACGAGTTTTGACTATTTTAAACGCATGTATCCATCTACCAACAAGGGAAAATAAAAAGTGAATTATACCAATATAATTTAATGCAAATAGGCAAAAACATCGTAAAAAGCCTCACGTACGCTATTTTGCAGATTTATTACCGCTGTATAATACATATGTAACAATTTAAAAAAATATATACCTATATATATGCAGGATATGATTTCTGAAACCCTTTTTTCGATTGGGAATTATCTCACGGTCATGTCATATATATCCGGGAAAATTGAGGACTAACTTTTGACGCGGAAAATTAAATTTGAATGTTACAAGCGTCACTAGTTAAAAACGTGCAGTAATGGAATTTATAAATGTGCTAATTAAATTGGTAAATAGACACAGCGTTGGATTTAAGGGCCTAGGGAGCCAACCATTTGTTTGCAAATGACTAAATAATAATTTTGCGGTTTAGAGTTACTTTTAATCAAATTAAAAGTTTGTAAAAAACATACAGTGTGTCCACGGATGGACAAAACTACGAGGTGTGTTCAGAAAATAACGAGAATTGTTAAATTTCGCGGGTTCGGAGAGTCCGGTTGTCATAAAATTTTCTTTATTATGTTGGTATACATGATCCCGAAGTATGATAAAAACTTTAGCTGTTTTCATTGTTTACTTTGTCTCTAACCTTCTTTATCTCTGCTTTGTCTGTGGCAGCCGCTAAGGTTAGAAGTGTTTTATGAGCTCGGCGATTTTCGTTCGTTAAAAGAAATGGATCAAAGAATTTGTATCCAATTTTGCTTAAAAAATGAAATAAATTCTGTGAAATGTTAACAAAGGCCTATAGTGAGTCTGCTATAAGTAAAACAAGAGTTTACAAGTGGTATAAAGTTTCCAAGATGGCCGTGAAGACACATTAACAAGCGATAAAAACATGGAAAAAGTGGAAGAAATGGTTATAAACCATCAGAGAAGTCGCTGATGATGTTGGTATATCGATTGGCTCATCCCATGAAATTTTTTCAAATGTTTTGGGTATGAAACGCGTGGCAGCAAAATTTGTTCCAAAATTGTTAAATTTTGAACAATATTTTTGACCAAAAACAATACTTTAATGATGCCCCAGCCTCCATATTCGCCAGACATGCGTCTGTCTGACGTTTTCCTATTTCCAAAAATAAAGAGAACCTTAAAGGGCCGTCGTTTTGCAAGCATAGATAACATTAAAAGTGCATCGCTGAAAGAACTAAAGTCTATCTCAAAGATCGAGTTTTAGAAGTGTTTCGAGTATTGGAAGAAGAGCTGGCACATGTGCATAATATCCAATGGGGACTATTTTGAAGGCGACAACATTAATGTAGACGAATAAATAAATATTTGTTTCAAAAAACGAAAATTCCCGATTTTTTCTGAACACACCTCGTATTTATTATTAAAAATAAAATCGATTCAGGTCCTAACTTGAGTGGTCCGATTATTTTGTAGAAATTGACTGCTATCTCATTTTGTGATTATGAGTCAGGGTTGTTGATTTAAACTGACATGTCTACAATGTCTACAATTATTTGTTAAAATTTGAAAACTAATATCTTTAATTTTGAATATCAAATATTTTATTATTAAAAACTCATATGAAAAAGCTTTGTCTTTTTGATTGCCAGCTCTTTAAATTAGAGCTTCAAAATTATTTAAAATTTTTTAATTTTGCTTACCCTGTCTAACAAATGTTAAATGAACTGTACTTAAATGCAAATGAAGGGTATATAATAAATTCTACATTTTATATAACAAAAAGAAGATTTATTAAAAGTAAAACTTTAAAATTTATGTAAATATTAAAAAGCTCATTAATGTTTCTAAATATGAAAAGTTATTATTTGGTTTTCTTTAAAATATACATTTCTCATTATTAAACCAATTTAAATATAAATATTAATAGATTTTATGTTAATTTTCAATATGGTCAGAAATGCAAACAATTTAAATAAATATATGTATATTATATAAAAATATAAAAGTTTTTTATTATTTTAGGGCTAAAAATATTTTAAACTCCTTAAACCTTAAAAAATACATTAACATACATTTTTATGTGTAAAAAACGAAAATGAGAGATTTGCAAAAATGGCGGATGCCCCGGGATTAATCTGTTCCCGGCACATTCGCCATTTTTGCACATTATTGCCGTTTATTAAATAAACACGTAGATTAGACTGGGCCAAAAAAATTGACTATTTTTTTTTTTGAAAAATATATCGAGAATGTCATTCAGAATGACAAAAAAAATATTTCGTGAAAATTTGAGCCCTTAATATTAATTTTAAGAGGTCTATCATCACTATTTTTTATTTTTAGTCATAATTTGATGTTTTACGTTAGAACTGTCAAAATAATAAAGTGAAAAAAATTCCTTTTCACTTATTTTTATATAAAATTAAATTCTCTACAAAAAAGGTGTGATTGAAAATTTTCGTCAGACGAGCCGTTTCCGAGTAATTGAGCTTAATAAATCGATGTGTTTTTTCGATTTGCCCTTTTTACTTTGAAATTTTGTAACTAATGAATCAATGAATATTTAAAAAAGCTCACATCGGATTCTTAAAGTAAATTTAATGTTCTACAAAAAAGGTCTCTTAACATTTTTGCCTAAATTTAATTTTTCAAAAGTTATTCACGATTAAAATCGAAGAAAAACTTAAAATTTCAATTTTTTCTTCGTGAATAACTTTTGAAGAATTAAATTTAGGCAAAAATGTTCCGAGACCTTTTTTGTAGAACATTAAATTTCCTTTAAGAATCCGACGTGAGCTTTTTTAAATATTCATTGATTCATTAGTTACAAAATTTCAAAGTAAAAAGGGCAAATCGAAAAAACACATCGATTTATTAAGCTCAATTACACGGAAACGGCTCGTCTGGCGAAAATTTTCAATCAGACCTTTTTTGTAGAGAATTTAATTTTTTATAAAAATAAGTGACAAGGAATTTTTTTCACTTTATTGTTTTGACAGTTCCAACGTAAAACATCATATTATGACTAAAAATCAAAAATAGCGATGATAGACCTCTTAAAATTAATATTGAGGGCTCAAATTTTCACGAAATTTTTTTTTTGTCATTCTGAATGACATTCTCGATATATTTTTCAAAAAAAAAAAATAGTCAATTTTTTTGGCCCAGTCTAACGTAGATGCATTAATTTGGAGAATCTTCTTCTCTTTAGTTCCACAGTTTAAAACCATTAAAGGAAACATTAGGAACACAAGGGAAAATCTAATTAAAGTAATTTAAGCATTCATCCCTTAACATTTCTATAATATAGTAATAGGCCAGTACTGGTTTTAATCAAAAGATAATGAATTGAATAGAATAATATGTATTCTGATTTTTTTTGAAAAATCGTTTTCTTCTTTTTTTAGAGATACAAAATTTCAAGAGAGAATATAGCAACAACGCATTGGTAAGAAATTTTTTTTTATTAAAAATGTAGCTCTTAAAATAACCAACCTGTTGATATAACCTTATTAAATTAAAGGGGATTTTTTAGAATAATTAAATTAATTAAAAAAGGAGTTAAATATTTGGTTTATTTTAGTCAATTTAAACCAAATATTTAACTGGTTACTAGCATTACTTATAAGTTAAAAAGTAGGTTATTTTAGAAGTTACATAACGTTGTATTAACTTAAAATTTTAATCTTAGAAAATGTTTTAGACTAGTTTCATTAGTCTAGATACACTTTTGTCTCACTATTATTTTCTTCTGTAGTTTGCCTCACTAAACGCGAAATTTTTTTTTTTCATGGAAGCCTTTTCGAGATATGAATTTTTAATTGATTTTTTTTAATTTTCTGAGGTTTTTTGATGTTTATACTTCGAGCTTCGAGCACTTAAATCAAAGGTAATTGATCCATCTACAACTTTGTATAGTTTTGGTATCGGTTCAGTAGTTCGATACTGGCGATTTTATGAAGTTGAAAAAGTCCTTTTTTTTTACAAAAATCGGGGTCAAAAATTTACATATCTTTCTGGGAAAGATAGAAATCGAAAAGATAAGTCCAGTTTGATTTATTTTATGTATAGATTATACTTAAAGGAAAAAAATAAGCTGCTGTTGATAAAAATCCATGGATAAATGGCAAAGTTATGAATTTTTCAGTAAAAGACCAAAATTCAGTTTTTTCGAGAATTTTTACGTTTTTTTCATTTTATTGCGTTATATAAAGTTTAATATTAAAAAATAAATATTGAACATTGAAGATATTGAAAGTTTTATTTTGTTGTAATAAGCATAGGTTTAAAAAAAATCTGGCTCCTTTTTTGTTTTTTGTTGCTTTCGTATTCCGTTTCTCGTATAAGGGGCCAAATGTAATCACCCATCATGGCTGCATCCCAGAAGTTGTGATCCATAGCCTTCATTTGCTGGTAAAAACGTTCTCCGTGCTCATCACTAACGTCGCCCAGATTGTCCGGGTTATTTACGCACTCGAACTCTTTACTTCTTTTACTTATTTTACACTTTTTATTAACTAAATAAAACCATGATAAAAATACTCTAATGTTTTCGGTGAAAAAAGTACGTGAAAAACTTAAAAATTCCAATCATGCACTTAAATTAGGTTTTCATTAAAAAATAAACATATTAGGAAATAAAAGAAAAAAATAAAATAAAAATCGTCAAAAAGTTGAATTTTGTTTTTCCACTAAAAAATTCATAACTTCGCCATTTTTTCATGTATTTTTATAAACATTAGCTTGTTTTTTTTGTAAAAATGTCAGCTTCACAAAAAAATCCAAACTGGAGCTATCGGTTTGATTAAAACCTTTCCCAGGACGATATGTAAATTTTCGACCTCAATTTTTGCCATAAAAACGAATTTTTTAAGTTATTAAAATCGCTAGCGTCAAAATACTTTCCCGATATCAAAAGTATGTAAAATAAAGTTTTAGAGGGCTCAAATACCTTTAATTTAAGGGCTTGTTTGACCAAATCGTTCAATTAGATTTCAAGCTATACTCAAAAACGTCAAAACACCTCCGATAATTTAAAAAAAAAATTGAAAATTCATATTTCAAAAACGCTTCCATAAATTTTTTTTGTTGTGATTTTCGTGTTTAGTGGGTCAAAATACTTGGAAAAATTATATTGTGGGATATGGTGGGCCGAATTTTTTTTGATTTTGTAGTGTAATTAGTTATTTTTGACTAATTAATTTTTTCTACTCCCACCTTTAAAACGCCCTTTTAAATATACATTGACAAGTTGTGGCTTTATGTCGCTTTAGTCATGGGCTGAAGTTAGCAACAGGTTTTTAGTCATGGGCTAAAGTTAGTTTTAAGTAAGTTGACAGTTGTCAAATGTCATACAGTCGTTAAAATAAAGTGCCTTTCTTGTAAAATAATACTAAATGTGAAAATTATTTTATTACCTCAATACAAAAATACAAACGCCAATATTTGAAAAGTTTATATGAACATTGTACTGACCTTTTAATTTCGCCGGCAGTAAACTATAACTTAAATTCGGGCACGGACTCCACTGTAAAGTGCTCATAAAACATTTCCTTTACTTTCACTGTGAAAAATTGTCAATTTTCAATATACATTTCGATTTATAACCTTTATAATTGTGTTTAAAAAATGTAAAAATGTGACATTTGACAGTTTCCCGTGTTGTTTCATAGATGGCGCTCTATACAAATTTTTGATTTAAATCATTTTAAGATAATAATAAGTATTTGTCGTAGAAAAAGTATAGTATGCAACTCGTTTATAAAATGGCGTTTATCAAATTTGATACATAATATACTATTAAGAGAGTAGCTTTGTGATTTTTTACATGACGACGTGATTAAAAGAATTAAATAACAATAATAATAATAATAATAATCGTCTTTATTTAAAGTAAAATTATTACAATAATATTATAATATATATTGTAAGTAGGTGGCACATACGGCGAAGTTTAGCCTAAGGCTACTCTTACACTTAACCGTGTGTGATAAGTAAATTGACGGTAAAAATGTCGTGTGGACCGAATGTTTGTTGTCAGATTTGGGTTTAGGGGGCAAAAGTACAGAACTGAAAAATAATGTAAACCAGGAGAAAAGTTATGGCAAAAGCGACTAGGTAGTGTGGTAGATCGGCGCGAGCGTGCCTACCCTTTCATCCAGCCCCTGCACAGAGTATCTCGCGCGCGGCTCACAATACTACCCTTGAATCAGTCGACTGCCGCCTCTTAGAGACAGAACACGCGACCGAACTCCCGTGAAAACGCGCTCCGACACGCCAACTCTCCAAACTTTCCGCAAAGTTTCGCCGGCATCGTAGAATGTGAAAATGTTGATATCATTTGTACTGTGCACTTTTTTACTCGCCCATTCTTGTGGACATTTGTACAGCTTCGAGAATAACATAAGACATGGTAGATCACGGTTGTTGAGAGGTAGAAGACACGATATAGCCCTGTTTTTGAACACTGAAACTCCGATGAATTTCACCATAGAGCCTCAGCATGTTAGTAAAGTCGGGAAAAAATCTGGAAAGAGGGTTACCGTGGGTTCCACCATGGGGAACACAAGTTGGCAACACATGGATCGAAGCGTTTTGTACAGGGGCGAAAAAGCTTTGAACCAGATAGACAACAACAACAACAACAAGAAAAAAGACAACGAACTTGATGAAGAGGCTTTCAGCAGATCTCCGTTCATGGACGTTGATGAAGAAACCGGTCTAACATTATCAACTGAAACCTCGACTCAGCCGAGAAGCGGCCATGTGGATATAGTAACCCGATTTCTTCGCATAGTAGAATCGCAACATCTTCTAGGTGAAAACTGCACCGCTGGAACTGACCTCAACCTAGGAGAAGGAGTGGTGGATAGATACGCACAGGAACGTTTCCGGGTGGAAGCAGACGTTGCAGTCAATCGAGCTAACATGCTGACCAGACTTTGGAAATACGCTGACCCTCATGTGGTCATGTCGGAATACCTTTTGCACGCATCAGTGTTTTCTATGGTGGAATTTGACAATGACATTTTCGCTGCCGGTAACTGCTATGACCGTCAGCAGTACAAGGACTATTGGTTGTTTTGCCCGTATGCATATAGATTACCTGAAGGCTCAATCCTGGTAAAAGATCTGGCTGTTGAATATAACTACCTGAGCAACACTTCCGAGTGGTTCTACATAGCCAGAAAAAATGCTGAGAATGTCATCAAGAACTTCAATCAGTTCAGCAAAGGTAATTTCATGATTTTACTCGTTATTTCCAAGTAAACTGCTTATGGCATTTGAAAATAACAATATTAATTTAATATAACTTAACTATTTTCAAAAAAAGAGACCATAATAATAATATTATTTACCTTATACATCAATAAATGAAGATGGATTCCTTAATAAAAGTTAATTTATAATTAAATCTGCATACAATTTTACTTAACCAACATATTTTTTTATTTACACAGTCAAGGTTTTTACTATTACTTCAATTTGTTTAGTAGTTCTTCCTTATTTTTATTTCGATTTATAATAAGACACTTTAGAATCTCTTCTCGAATTTTGCTCACTTGTTATTCTCATATTTACATTCAATTTTCATGATAATGCAGCTGAATATAACAACCGTCAGATATATATATATATATATATGGGTGATTCTACAAAAGTTGGACAACTTGATGTCATCAGTCAATAGAGTAGGTATTTTAATATTTTTTCAAAAACGTTTGTATAAAAACATAATAAATATTCAAAACATCAGTATACCTTGGCGTGTCACAACTCCTGAATCAAATATTTGAGTGATTTTATTTTAAAATATATTCAATTTATCTTAAATTTTTCAATTTCACTACAAACTATAAAACATTAAATAATGTATTTTTCATATTTTATCGTAGATTCGAATAATAGCAATTTTTAAAAAATTGATAATCTTTGTACTCACTTTTACCCGTCAGTTCTGTGTCCAATGTTAAAATTCAAAATTCCTGCGAAATATTGAAGTTTAAACGTCAAGTCCTCGTTTTAACTCAAGTGTTGGTAAAAAATTACCTACAGAGCCCGCCCTTTGCACGATAGTCATCTTGAAAACAATGCAAGCGGCGAAGTTGTGGTGAATGCACGTATAGTTCCAGTCAAAATTTCAGTACTGTGGTGATTAGTTATTTTCTTACGTATATATATTTCATTGTAATTTATATAAGGCTATATGTAATTTGTTGATAAGTAGCATCCACTAATAAAAAATATCAGTAAAATACTTAATTCCGAATTATAATCTCAAATTTGTATCCCATGTTATCTTTTTTTCGCAAACTTCAATTTAAATTCTGCTTGCGCAGAACTTGTTTATTTAATGTCATTATAAACTCATATAAATTTGGTATGGGTCCCATATCTAATAATTGAGATATCGGTATACCCAATCCACCAGCAGCCACTGATGTGTGGTATTATTTGATTTTAAGATATTTAATGTATAATATGCTCAAAGTTACAATAAATCTTATATTTTTCAATAAATTATGTATTTAATTAGTACCCTGGTATACTCGTCACTTCCCTTGCATTCAAATTTAGAAAACACAGATATTTCAGAAACTGTTTGAAAAAGTGACTAGCCCGGTCTGGAACAGTATATTTATTATATTATCTATGTTCTCATAACAAAATACCGTTTAATTTCTCCGAAAACTATATAAACAAAATGAGGTCAAAAGTTGCCCAACTTTTGTAGAATCACCCATATAAAAAGGGGGATGTAATTAAAAAAAAAGTAACCATTTTTACCAACACTTTTATTTTGCAATACCAGATTAAAATTATTTTATCATTGACAATTTGAAATTTTTTATTAACTGGCAAACAAAAGAATTTATAATTAAAAGTTCTCGTAACGCCGTTAAACTGAAAAATTGTTGTATATAAAATAAAAGTATATAGAAAATAACACAAATAAAAAAATTTGTATGAATTGTTTTATCAAACTTTTGCAATTTGGAATTTTAGCTTTCATAAAAAATATTCATGTAATGTTTTAAACTTTTTAAATTTTGCTAATTTTATTCAAACTTTATGTCAAATCTGTCTAAGTCAGTAAGGCACAAAGTTTGGATCAAATGAACATGAAAATTGAAGGGAAAATTAATATATTTTTTAATCTTTCAAAAAGCATATTAAACTTAAAAAAATAATAAAGATTTTTAATTATAAGATTAAACATTTTATGGATTCTTTTGCTAATGTTATTTTTAAGATTATGAGCAGACTTTAAATTTTCTTTGAAATAAGATTGTTTCAAGGTTAAAAATAAAATTTTAACTACTAACAGGATGCTTTAATACAAAAAGGCGTCAATGTTTTGCACCTTGTTCGACACAAATTCAGAATGCAATTAGTGCTTAACATTTATCATTTTATCGCCCCTGTCTGTAGTTTAAAATATAAATATTAAGTAAAATATAAAACCTTTTAGTTTGATCACCTTGTACAAATCCAGTTTAGCAAAAAGACTAATTAATTTTTATGCTTAAGACTTTAATAGTATTAACTTTTATAAGGCTTCGACTTAGATTGTTGTGCATGTGAACAATTAGTTTTAAATGTAAATTTATTAAGTATATACTAAGTACGCAAACCAATACATGTTAGTTTTGCTCGAGATATATTTATTAATCATTATTTATTTAATTTTCTAAATGTGCTTATTTTATATTATTTTCGTTATTTTTATTTGCACTGGCTTTTGAAGACGATTCTTTGAATAATTTTAAGAGAAATTACTATTAGTATTAATTAAATTAGTAGATTCATTGAATTTCTTACTATAAATGTCGCGACCTGATGTAATCCAAAGAATTGTGAAGATTTTATAAGAAAACACCCTGTATTTAAAACTTTCTACACGACTGAAAGATTCGTTTATTTATTTGTCTAAAAGTCTAAAATTTACTGATTTTCATTTAGGGGCAACCACAATAAATGTTTAGTAATTTAGTTCTACTTCGGTATTTTTGTTGAATTAAATCTCCACTTTTGTACGTCAAAATTTGATTTTAGCATTGCTTATTTATAGTTTTCCGTCACGCAACAATGTCAGACACAGATGTTCTTTGGCAAAGCACGTTTTACAACTTTTCAAGGCAATATCTAACCGAATAAACTTTATTTCCCTAAAATAAGTTTCTTAAAATAACTTTTAGAAGGCGCACAGCTTTCCTTTTAATTAATCACTTTTAATTGTTCATTAATTGCATAAATCCCACGCTCAATTCAATATTGCAGTTTTTGACATCTGTTTACGAAAAAACTTTAAATTAAAAACGTTAAATTGACTAAACCGAAAACTAAATTAACTTAATTGTCACCTGTAGCTTATTAGTTGAAATTGTTCCTTCCCTAAAATGATTTATTAATCGCACGAGACTTAAGTGTCTCAAATCCCTAATAAGGGTATAATTAATGTTAATTATTGAATTCAATGAATTTCAAAGTTTAGAAAACGCCCCATTAAATCGATCATTGGCGATCTAAAAGTTTTATCAGAAATAAACAGAAAAAACAGTTTAAATCGATCCTGAAATAATAAATATTTAAAAATTTGATTAACTATTAAATTTGTTAAATCATTATTTAATAATTAAATAATTACAAATTAATATCAGTAATTATTGTCGAAATTCTTAAGATAGTTCTATTTAGCTAAAGTCGACATTCTTAAGACAGTTCTATCTGGGTGCAGTCGACATTTTTAAGACAGTCATATCTAGCTTATGTCGACATTCTTAAGACAGTTCTATCTAGGTAAATTCGACATTGTTACGACAGTCATATCTACCTTAGTTCGACTTTCTTAAGACAGTTATATCTAGCATAGATTGACATTCCAAAAATTTAATCCGCAATGATTGTCGACATTCTTAAGACAGATCTATTTAGGTTTAGTCGACATTCTTAAGACAGTATCTAGCTTAGGTCGACATTCTTAAAACAGTTCTATCAAGGTAGAGTCGACATTTTTAAGGCAGTTTTATCTAGCTTAGATTGACATTCCAAACCTTTTGTTAAATATTGTCGACATTCTTAAGACAATTTTATCTAGGTAAATTCTTACGACAGTCATATCTACCTTAGGTCGAATTTTTTAAGACATTTATATCTAGCATAGATTGACATTCCAAACATTTTGTTAAATATCAGCAACGATTGTCGAAATTCTTAAGGTAGTTCTATCTAGCTAATGTCGACCTTCTTAAGACAGTATCTAGCTTAGGTCAACATTCTTAAGATAGTTATATCTAGAAAGAGTTGACATTTTTAAGACAGTCATATCTAGCTTATGTTGACATTCTTAAGACAGTTTTGTGTAGCTTAGATTGACATTCCAAACCTTTTGTTAAATATTATCGACATTCTTAAGACAGTTCTATCTAGGTAATTTAGACATTCTTACGACAGTCATATCTACCTTAGGTCGACTTTCTAAAGACAGTTATATCTAGCATAGATTGAAATTCCAAAAATTTAATTAAATATCCGCAATTATTGTCGACATTCTTAAGACAGATCTATTTAGGTAAAGTCGACATTCTTAGGACAGTATCTAGCTGAGGTCAACATTCTTAATACAGTTATATCTAGATAGAGTCGACATTTTTAAAGCAGTTTTATCTAGCTTCGATTGACATTCCAAACCTTTTGTTAAATATTGTCGACATTCTTAAGACAGTTCTATCTAGCTTAGATTGACATTCCAAACCTTTTATTAAATATCAGCAATGATTGTCGACATTCTTAAGAATGTTCTATCTAGCTACATTCTTTAGACAGTTATATGTAGCTTAACTTGACATTTTTTTGACAGTTATATTTGCATGTCACCCAGTGTAATTGTTGATATTTAACGAAATGTTTAAGATTTTATTATTAAATAATGATATTTTATACATTTTTTAGTAAAAATTATGAACATCATACATTTTTATAGTTGCAGTATAAAATTGGATAATATTATGAAAATAAACATTTTTTTAGCATTTTTTCGCTCCGTGTATTATAAAAAGGGTCTCTGTTTTGATAAGAAATTTCATTTTTACAGCGTGACATACATAAAGGTGCGTTGTTTCGCATAATACCTGAATTTAAATTCAGAATAGAACGTTACATTTTCTAGTATAACTATCCTTTATTATGGAATAACTTTATAATGAAATATCCCAACCCATTTAGGAAAACATA